TGTTGGAAATAGCGCAACTGATTTTCTTCTTGTTCCAATCATGGTACCATTTTGTCTCGTTTATTTGGATAATAGTCTGTCTTTGTTTCACTCTTGGTTTGGTCGACGGCATGATAGCTGTGCACTCACCTCATGCCGTTGCGCGGTACGTTGAGCCCGAGGAGAAAGAGTTTGCCCTGGGACTGATAACAGCCGGTAACTCTGTGGGCGCATTTGCGGGAGGATTGGTTGGGTTGACTGTGGAATCATATCTCATGGAGCATTGCGTGAAGCAGTTCTCAAAAAGCAAAAAGTTCTGTTTTACCAGGCATAAGAATATTTCCGGTTGGGAAAGAAATATTCACTGTTCTAAGTGAGATACGTAGGCCTTAAAAAGATAAAAGAAAGATGGATTTCCTTCATCGATATTAGTAAGGCTTTTTTAAATTAGCGATGTTAGGGACCACTATAGGGATCACCATTAGGGATGTTAATATCGCCTCGGAGGATTTTTGATTTCGAGGTTTCGGGAAGAGATCCAATTTCGTGCTATGACGAGCTATGGCGGGGAAAAAATTGCTCGAAGAAGTCTGTAGACTTTATGTCCGAAGCTAAGAATGGGAATTTGATGAAAGTGCTAAACGAGCTTCCTTCGCGTCCCCGTGCACTCAGTGTCACTCTATATTTATTCACCTATCGAAAAATTACGGTGATGGAACACGCAGCCTTTTACGAGACTCTCTCTCAAAGTTTAATTAGTTGATGGGTAAAGTACCTTCCAAATGCTATCCACGCAACACTATCAACATGTCGCTTGTCTAATAATTCGGCTGGTATATCTTGTCTACGTTTCAACCGTTCGTTTACAAGCTCGGCTTCATCTTTTTAATTTGCTTCTCTCCGCAGCTGGCCCCCTCCAGGTGGTTGTTGGTCAATAACACACCCTGGAATTTGCTCTGAACTGCAGAAGATTCGTCTTTTGATTTCTTTAGCTTCTGAAATTGTCTTTCGTAGTAACAACTGCAAGAAAACTATGCGAAAAGTTCTTTCCCTAACAGCGTAAATCAGAGGATTAAACAAAAATCTAAATAATTGGCCATAAAATGACCAAAATTTTAACCGTTAGCCATACATGGAGCAAAATCTTAACAGTTGCCCGTAAGTTGAGACCCTTTTTGAATTGCATTATTTAAAATCTTACAGAAGTAAATAGATTCTCATTCAACCTCTGCTATGGGTCGGTGGAAAGCAATTTCCAAAAGGATGTTTCTTGTAAGTGTTAATGTTACCAACGTTTTCTTTGGAAAAACGCCCCCTTTTCCCTCTCGAGAAAAAGAACACAAAGTGCAGATACGTTGTTTAACACAGCAATGTAGAAATGATGAAATGGTAAAACTTATTGTTGCAAGGCCGTACAGAGTGTCCATTGAATATATTCTTTATAATTAGAAATGTGGTAATAAAGAAAGCAAAGGAAACCTGTGTCTGTCTTTTAACGCTTAGCAAACAAGGAGGCTTGTGTTTCTGGGAAGGTGCCATGACGACATGATCATAATAAAATTGTGTAAGTGGTAAGTTCAAGGAACGGAATGCCCATTACGGCGATATTTGTAACGGCATGGGGCGAATGTAATTTTTGTTCAGAACTTCCACAGCTTGCTGATGTAATCTACGCGTTCTATCAAGCCTCCGATAACCACGTTTTAAAGCCCCAAAGCTCCCCAACAGTCGTCCAACATTAATTGCTGGTAAAGGGTCGGGCTGATGGACCCAAAGAGAAAAAAGGAAATCCTCGCCAGCCTGAGAAGCTTTGATTGTTCAATGAATTCTTCTTTTCAGCACCAATGGAAGTTTAGAGAGAAAAGTGTGAAGAATATTGACATCGATGTTAAGTGTAAAGGGTTCATTATCATGTTATTAGCTTGGTTTCGCTTATATACTGCGCTCAAACGAAGAGAGCCCTCTGTTCTGATAGCTCGAACCAAAACAAACTCAGCATTCATTTCATCCTACATTTATTCGTGTATCCATATCTTCACTTCATACTAATAATCAAACTCAAACGAAACAAAGATAGAAATTAAAATAAAAATTCGCTGCAATCAGGAGCCCATCAATTGGAGCCTCTATCTTCCGAGAGGGTCTTAATGAGGCTATACGTTAGTCGTAAAATGAAGAGCAATTTAACTGTCAGTCGTAAAATTTCTAAAGTTCCAACTGTTACTACAATTAGGCCCTCTTCCAAACGAGACCTTGGATTCAATCCTTTCCCAATTAACGAGGCTCCCAGAGGAAGTTTCGATTCCTACTAAGAACCAATCAAGAGAGAGTTACGACAATCTTTTTTTTTTTAGGTCTAACATCTGCTCGCATGAACTAAGCAGCGAAAAGATTCTTTGCAATTAGCAGTTGACTACAGGAAAATGCCTAACTCAATGCAAAATTAGAGATAGAGGCTCCCGTGAATGTGCAAACTTGTCAACTGAAAACAAAGTTTTGGTCGAAAAAATATCTCACACTTTTTAAAAGCAATTTTCAAAGTCTCCCTGCAAAATGTTGGGTGACGTTAAGACACAGAAAAAAACTCTTAAAATTAATTTTCAAAAATTCTACATATAGCTTTTTTTTTCAACTCAATTATACACGGTCAATCTATTTCCTATTTCTATCACCTGCCTTCTTCCCTTTCTGGTTCTATTTTGTGTATTTAGTAACATCTGCTACCCGTTAAAACTGTTAACAAAAATTAACTTACCCTGAAGTTATTGTGGAGCTTAGATTACTCTAAACATAATTCCATTTTGTTTTCATGTAAATAGATAAATAAATAAATAACCGTGGCCACTTTTTTTCAGCCGTAACCACCCTGTCATTATTCATATTTTGTCAGTCTTATGCATCTGCCTCGTGACTTATGGCTCTTGAAACATTATTTTATGATTTGCAATAATGAACATGCGCAAACGTACATTCTCACCTCCAACCCCCCCCC